TGTAAGTGGGCAAACCTGCAAATTCAGCAAGGGGTCAAATACTTATTTCCCCCACTGTATCTATCTCAGTTATATCCATCTTTCGCTGTCACCACTGACTCTGATCAGTGTTTCTCCTCTATATAGCTTATTGTCATAGTGATGATAAATGTAATATTGTGTCTACTCTGTAAGTCGCTTTGGATAAAATGCATAAACATAAACATCTATCGATCAAACCAGATGAGAGTCTTCAGTTAGCTGAGCTTCAAATGTGTGTTCAGGATGGTAAAACCTGGATGACCTGCAATTTTCTAATGTTAAACTCAGATAAAACTGAAGTTATTGTTCTAGGGCGTAAGACACGTCATCTAGAATAGGCTGGTCCCGATCCGATATCTGGATCAGATCGGCCAGCAGGAAAAAATGCAGATCCAGACTCCAGATCCATTTTTCTTTTAAAGTCCGATCCCACATTAGCATTAGCGTTAGTATCTGCTAACCCACAGGTCTGTGTCCTAACCATTAAGTTGTTATCAAAGTAAATGTGGATCTGGAGGTGGTGACAGGTTAATGGCTTCTCGTTACTCTGTGTGTACAACACCATGTGAGACACCAGGAGATGAAACTCCTGAGCCAAGAGATTCTCTCACGAGTGAAAAATCGTGCCAAAAAGGGGCAGAAATGTTGGAGACCTGTGTTTCCACTAATTATGCAATAAGGTTTTTTTTTTTTTTTTTTTTTTTTTCTTCTCACTTTTTTGAAATCACCCTGTTTTTGTTTTTTTTTTTTTTATGTTTAAAAATGTAAAAATACAAATGTACATTCGTACCACATTGTATTATTTCTGAAAAAATTCAATATTTTTGCTAAAAAAAAATTGCTTTTTTCACACTCTTGAAATCACCCTGTGTTTGTGTTTTGTTTTTTTTATGTTTAAAAATGTAAAAATACACATGTACATTCGTATCACATTGTATTATTTCTGAAAAAATAATACAAATTTTGTTCAAAAAATAAATAAATAAAAGTAAAGGGACAGAAATCGCAGAGTGTATGGCCGGATCCAGGACAAAGAATCTCAAATAAAGGCAGGAAACATCTCATCTTCCTAAAACCTACTGCTGCAAGTTCAATTTGAATTTGTCCAAACAGTTTGTTTGTGTGGAGGAGTTAGCGGCGGCTCACCATGTGGAAGGGGGAGCGGGGGGGTGGGCGGGGCCTCCTCCGGGGAGGGGGCGTGGCCTTTGGGCGGGCGGGGGCCTTCGGTTTGCTGACTGGAGTCGGAGCGGTGGAAGGTTTGGAGGCCGATGAGGAGGCGGGGCCAGTGGTGGTGGGCGGGGCCACAGCTGAGGGAAACACGGCGTGAGGCGTTTACTGACAGTCAATCCAGTCTGAGATACAAACGCTCAACATAGGCCCCCATTTGTGTGCAAAAAGGGGGGTTTTTGACGTTTTTGTGCCAGTAAAACCACATCTAACGTCTCATTTATCTACAGTGGGGGAAATAAGTATTTGACCCCTTGCTGATATTGTAGCTTTGCCCACTTACAAAGAATGCTTATTTTTCCTCATCAGATGGTTATCAATTTTTATAAATTCATATGATGTGATTTTCTGGAATTTTCTTTGGGATTCTGTCTTTATCTGTTAGAATGTACATATGATTAAAGTTATAGATCGTTGCATTCTTTGTAAGTGGGCAAACCTGCAAAATCAGCAAGGGGTCAAATACTTATTTCCCCCACTGTATTTTTTTATCATCAGGGAAGCTTTTGCTCTCACTGGGACAGAACACCAGCTCAGGCGTTCTACATACGTGTTTAAACCAGCACGCGTGCTCCCAAATATGAATATTTTACCCAGATGTGATCAGTTCTTATTTAGAAAAGCCTCCTCAGGCACGTGCACTCACATCGCCGTATCACACAGAGCAGTTTACAAGTTCATGTGAGATTTTGAGACTTTTAAGTTTCAGCTGCATGGTGCATTTAGGTGCAAGGAGAAAGCTGGGACATCTGGGTTTTATTCCATTCCAGTGTTATATCTTTGTGGACAAATGCAGAATAACAGAACCGGTGAGTGACAGTAAGTAAGTAAAAAGTAAGT